CATCATGTTGACTTGTTTAAGATTAATAATTTCACTCTTTATTTTTTATCGGATCGGATGGTAAAATGTTTTAAAAGTTTTGTATGTAAAACAAAATCATTAAAACACTATAAAGTATTTTTTTTAAATTTCAACTTTATTAGTTATTGACATGTTTCGTTTTGTTTCTCGTAGAATTCAGTCGCCCGCAAAGTGCACCAATCGAACATGATACCGAAAATCAGATTGCACTACACGGCCGTAAAATCAAGCGGAATCGCTTCAAATGGGGTCCAGCTTCGCAAAGTATTTTGTATCGCGCTTACCAGCACAACCGCAATCCAAGCAAAGACGAACGCGAACAGCTAGTTGCTGAGTGCAATTCGTAAGTAGACTTTGTTTATTTGGAGGGTGGTCTAGTGACATCACCGGCCAAATATTTTTGGATATCTTGGGTTCAAATCCTAGCTGGGTCGAAGACTTCATTTCTTATAACACAAGTTTGGATATACAGCGGTTATGAACCGTCCAACACACGGAAATGAGATAAACTAAATCAATTAATTTGAATCTGGTTTTTTTAACGTTATCCAATCCCTGTTGCAGTGGCGGACGCCCCCACGTTATTTTGCAAATCCCACGATCAGAAAACAAATATAAAATAAACGGAAGAGAGTTTTTCACCCTTTTCTTTGGAAGCGTATTGGGGATTGCTTCGTCCTTGTATGATGATGTGTTTCCTATACTCACATGTTATATTAAAACTCCTATTCATCATCCTATCATCGTCATTACCACCAGCGAACACATAATGATAGTAATCTTTTTAAAAACTTTTCAGAGCGGAGTGCATACAGCGTGGTGTATGCCCGACACAGGTGAACGGATTGGGGGCGAATCTCGTCACCGAAGTTCGCGTGTACAACTGGTTTGCAAATCGTAGGAAAGAGGAAGCGTTTAAAAACAAACTAGCGTTGGAGAACGCTCACCACCAACAGGTACTAACGTACCACCAACAACAAGGTAATCACTATATTTTTCAGTCTCTAGCACACTGTGATTATGCTCCCACATTTACCTACCTTTAACACCATGGGATGACTGCAATCTCACTTTTTAAGGGGAAAAAAACACGAGAACGCTTTTTGCGGCAGTGCTGCTAGTTTTCTCATATTATTGCGAAACGAGAATGTCGTGAAGTGCTGCTATAAAATTAGAACAATATTTACATGAATAAAACTGTCAATGGAGAGAGCACCTTTCGAAATGAAAGCTCCTTTAGTCTCACTAGCTTATTTCATAATTATTTAAAGGGTTCGTATTCATCCGCATAGGCCTATGTCTATTCAAAATATAGGCCTAAGCATCATGCTTTTAATCTTATGAATGGTGTGGTAAATTCTTGTTGTGTTTCTCATAGAAAATAACAATGATGATGATGATGATGATGATAATAATAATAATAATAAATGATAATAATAATAATAATAATAATAATAATAATAATAATAATAATAAATGGTTATGACAATAATTAAAAAAGAATAATATAAATACTACTGTTCCTACTATATGTAATAATAATGATGATGATGTTGGTGGTGATGATGATGATGATGATGATGAGGATGATGATGATGATGATGATGATGATGATGATGCTGGTGGTGATGAAAATGATGACGATGATTATGATAATTTAAAACAATAACAATAGCAACAATAATAACAATAATGAAAACTGTTCGCTAAATTCTAGGTAGCACCGTGGAATCGATGCCACTTGACACAGTGACGGATATGATGGTTGAGAGCAGTAACCAAGGTACAACAACGGCCATCATCCACCCAACGGGCTCTACCAATCTTCTCATTGGTGGAAGCCACATAACGTCATTATCAAACATGGAGAACAGCCATCTGGGTGTTCAGCACGAGAACCAGCAATCGAAACAACCGATGGTCAACTTTCCCACCACTCACCCAATGGTCAATGTAAGTTATGTATAAGGATATTCAAATTATTATAATTTTACTTATCATTTAAGGTATGTTTCAAAAGATTTACCTTTATTCTTATGCTGATAGTTTACCTAATTTTCCAAACACATATATTTAATCTTCTATTAATAAATTTTAGCAGAATATATATATATATACTGTCTCTTATACACATCTGGGTCCAGCTTCGCAAAGTATTTTGTATCGCTAAATACAAAAGATTACATTTTACCTAACAATTCCACAGAAGTGTCAATAAGTCGTCCTAATTATTAAAAAAACATAAACAAATTAGACAAACTGCAGCAAAACTGAAAGTTAAAATGGCATTCAATAAATAAATAAATCTCCATAAATAAATATTTAAGTTAAGGCTAAAAAAGATTTCATTAAAATCGTCATAAGTACGAAAAGCAAAAAAAATAAGTTAAAAACTGTAACCATTTATGTAACAATGCATTTATATGCCTATGTAAGCTATACACAGCAATATAACTATAACGTTTAAATACTAAACCAATTGGATAAATCAAACACTAATAAACTTACAATGATTATCTAATATAATAATTAATTGTTGGTGAGCTAATCTAAGTAACTAATCAATAATAAACGTTGTTATTAATTCTATAACGCTTTTATTTATCAAACATAATTAACTAATAACAAAAACTGTAAAGGATTTATGTAACAATGCATTTATATCTAAGCTATACACAGCAATCAAACGTTTAAATAAAAAATTAATTGGATAAATAAATAAAAAAACTCATGATGAACTTGCAAACTATCTAATTAATATAATAACTAATTGTTGATGAGTTAATTTAAGTAACTAATAAATGATAAATGTTGTTAGTATTCTATTACGCTATTATTTAAACAAACATCATTAATTAATAACAAAAACTGACCATATAAATACTCATTTATAAGGATCAATGTTAACATTGAGGTGTTACAGCTTTTGCTATTAATTCTATTACGCTATTTTTTAACAAACATCATTAATTAATAACAAAAGTTGTAACCTCAATGTTAACATTGATCCATATAAATACTCATTTATTAGCCTACTATTGTCGTTTGTTATCATAATTGTTATTTATCAATTGATATTATTATTAATCTATATTACAATTGATCCTTATTATAAGATTAAAATACTACCGTAATTCGTATAATTAATATATTTCTACAAAGTTGAATGTGAACGATAGTATACGAACAAATTTGGTACAAGAATTCTTATTATAAGATTAAAATACTACCGTAATTCGTATAATTAATATATTTCTACAAAGTTGAATGTGAACGATAGTATGGTATACGAACAAATTTGGTACAAGAATTCTTATTATAAGATTAAAATACTACCGTAATTCGTATAATTAATATATTTCTACAAAGTTGAATGTGAACGATAGTATACGAACAAATTTGGTACAAGAATTCTTACCATTAATATGTGTTTTAATAAACAGATGTCTTGTAAATAATTCTATATCTGTTTACCAGCAGATGTTAATTAATTAATAATTCATTTTTGATTAATGAGAGACGTGTGTACAGCCAGCATAATTGGTACCTCTCAATCGGGCCAGCAATATGCTGTGTAGATTTATCGATTGCCTGTGGGCTGGGCCTCCTACTTATTCATGAATAATAGGCCTACATTGTCGAACTTTGAAAACTTATATTCAAGTACGAACTAATATCAAAATTTATGTTTTATGTATTAGTATTGTAAGCAATACTATTGTACATATTATATAGTATGGTACATAAATATTGCAATATACTGTTTGTTAATTTATTACTTTATTAATTATTGATTTAATCATTCATTTATTAATTGATTTATTGGT